TTTGCACTACATACTCATCCTCGTTACACTAATAAATTGAAGCTCGTGTGAGGTGGGGGGTGGGGGGGGGGGGTTGAGGAAAAAGAGCCCAAATTCTTATTGACTTCTTAAAAAAAGAGTAGTTTGCAATGTATTGCCCATTAAAATTTTCAAAAAAATAGTGATTGTTTTCATTTAAAAAATTTTCTCAAGCTGATTTCGAGAGATGTCTAATTCTACAAAAACGATAAACTATTTTCTAGTTAAGAAAAAATTCTACTGGTATTATATTGGGATTTAATTTAAGATCAGATGATGAGCCGTATTTAGCTGGGCGATTAAAATACGTTGTGATTGTGCAGAGTTCTTTTTCAAACGAGATTGATAAGTTTGCAGAGTTTGTAGCTAATAGGATGGCAGGGTAATGTAGGTGACTGATAACGAGTGCGTTCATTTGTGTTATTCTTGCATTTGTAGGAAAAGTTTTTTGATCGACTGTGGTGACAAGGCAATTTTTAAAGATCTTTCTAACTTAATCCTGCACATTAAAAAAATGAGGCCAGGGAGCAACATACGCTATCACAAAAAAAACACAATCAAACAAGTTAAGACTACGCATAGTAACTTTTTCAATAATTTAAAAAAAAGACGGAGGTTTGCAGAAAACTAGTTTAATTTATTGGAGAAAGCCTTTAGTATAATGAAAAAAATTGATGGGGATTTTGATTGCAGCCTCGGAAGTTTGTTTTTTTTTGTTTTTTTGAGTATTTTTTATGTCGCTTATAGGGTTGCTAAGACTAGTGTTGTGGACTAGAAAATCGTTAAGACTAATGTTGTGGCTCAAACAATACTTCTGATAAAACTTAAAAGGCAATTTATTATGTAATTAAGGATGTATTATTAAGGATGTATGATAATTAGATGGTATGATCTGGAAAAATTACTTCAGTAATTGCAAACAAAAGTACGAAGAAAAAGAAGTAAAAGAAAAATGCCGTGTTTATTATTGAAGTGTTTTTTAAATCCTTCACCAACAAGTTCAGTTTGAGCACCGCAAAATCTGCTCTAGATCCCGAAATATTGTTAAAAGAGTTTAAAAAAAGGCATCAACGCCGAGTTTAGCTTCTTGTTTGTTTAGTATTGGCAGTATTTTGCAAGCATCCGCCATGTCTGGGCTAAACTTGGTGGTAATTTCTTCGATAAATAATAAGTTCGATAGGGGTAAAAAAAATTAAAAACCTATAGTGACTGTTCATAGGGTTTTAGTTTTTATTCGAGCTGTTTTCTTGACCCTAGAGTTAAACTTTCAGTTATAAAGAATGAGGACAACCTCTCTTTATTTTTTTCATTAGTTATTATGAAGGTAGCTGCATCTTGCCTATTGTTGTCACTGACTGATCCAGATCGATTGTTCATGAGCTCAATAAAATTCCGGTAGTCTTCTTTTTGATTATGTTAATCCGAATAAGTTTTGTAAATGGCCGCTTGGTTTAACTTGTCGAAATTTACTAAGTTCAGTTTGTGAATTGTCATTTTAAAATTAAATCTGAGTCGGAGTTATCGGAGTTTCCAGTAAATTACGTTGTTTCAATTTGTATAACGTAACGGTGCGTATAATATTTCAGTACGAATAACGCTTCAGTACTAAACGAACGGATAAGGTAATTCAGTATGGTCTCTTATACGGATAATTTGATAAACTTACCGCACACAGAACCTTCAGCTATTTTTTCTTAGTTTAAATTTGTTTTTTAAGTAACTGTTGCAAAACAATAATTCAATGATTTGTTTTCGATGTTTCGGTTCTAACTCGAAAAAGAAAATTAAACGAAAATGAATTATGAGGAAGATTTTTGGGTTCCGTATCCATTGAATTTCAAAAAGGTAATTAATAAAAGTGTGTGTTTACCACTGGTAACTATTGTATCTAACTAAGATTAAAAGAGAGTAAAAAGTAATGTGTGAATTAAAACTGACTGTAGTGTAAAAAAAGCAACTAGTGACTCGAAGTCCACTGGACTTCGTAGAGTGAACATTAACTGGTACTTGATTAGATAATAGAGGTCAAGGTTATAACATACTAAAATACTAAATCACAACATTCCCCACTGCACAAAAATTAATATCTGCCCGCTCGTCGATTTGTAACCGCGTTTAGCACCAATGGGCATTTACAGAGAGTACAAATTACAATGGAGGTGATTATATGGTAATATATGCAGGCTACTGACAGGTTTACACAGATATCAACACTGAATGTACAAGATGATATGTACAACTGGGGTTGTGTAGCATTTATATAATTAAGGCAAACTAACTAAATCACTAACTAAATAAAAAAAAATGGGTCATCCAATGGATAAAAGCTCGAGCAAATAAAAAGATATAATGTTACCAGAGTTTAATTCTACCAATGGAGATGCTACACATGCGGCCTTTGTTGTTCGAGAGGGGGGTGCTGAAAAGGGTCCTTGTGTGGTTTCCGCTACCAGTGTTGTGTGGCGTGGTATATCTTCAATTGGTGTCAGATAATCCGAAGGGGACGCCGTACAGTAAGTCAATTTAGATCGTGGACTCTTTGCGCTGGAGAACGTAATTAGAGGTTCGTCGTCGGAGTCTACTGCACTGTTGGTCTCCATTCCAAGCGTCACTTGATCGATAAAACGCCTGTCTCCGTAAAATTTTGGGGGACCTGGGTTCCTTTTTGCGCGGTGTTTGATGGATATCGGAGTTCTTGGTGTCTCCACTGTCTTCTCCGGAGAGCTGTCCACTCGAATTGGGTCAAGGCTTGTGCCCGTTGGTATAGTGATTGTTGTCTGTGTTTGCTTGGCTTTGTACGGTACTTCTTGGCTGATCTAAATCACTATGTAAATTAACATTCGGTGTATTACATACAATTTCCGCTTTTGTACCCAAGTAGTCATCGATGACTTTATCCCAAAGGTCTAACTCTAACGAAGAATCTAAGCTATTAAAGTCGAATTTTGAACCTTTCGTGCTCGTGGTGTTGGTTCTCCTCCTCTTGTTTGTCTTTCCTCCCGTTGGTGTGTAACTCGTTGAAGGGCCTCCTACATTTGAATCTGGTCTCTTTGAGGGGGAGTTTTTTTTCGCTTGCCTGCTAAATCATTATTATTAATTAGCGAATTCGGTATTGCCGAAAATATCCTAGGAGCTGACGGTTGGATTTTGTTAAAAGTTTTTCTGATCACGTGTCCGTTGTCTAATGTGACCGTATGCTTCATGTCCGACAGAGGTGTACGCCCACGTGGTTTAAAGTACGGTTCGCCTTCCCTCCTGTTAACTGTTCTCCTAAACCAGTTACCTCCTTGGCTGAAAGGGTTTGACAATGGGGCTCGCTGGAGATTTCTGTCTGCTTTGTCCGCAGGGTCGCTCTCGTACCTTCTTTCCTCCATTGCTCTGTTTTCCAGATAGCCGTCTTCAAACGCGTCGTCAGCTCCCCAGTCTTATGCTCTGTCCTTTGATAGGATTGACTTCCCCTTATCTAAACTAATCGCGTGAGAGACCAAAGATTTCCAGAACGTATTGGGAGAGCTATTAAAAAGTTTTGAGAAAAGAGAGCATCCAATGGATGATTGTTTCGTCGAACGGATATTCCAAATGATTTTATCAATTGCCGTATTTAAACATGGTTTTGGATCGTTGAACGACATTGCCAGTAGCTTAGCTTTAACAGTGTAAATGAGTCTTTCTACTACTCCATTGGATCTATAAACCCCGACCGTACATAGGATTAATTTAATGTTATTCTTCTCGCAGAAGTTTCTAAAATCGAACGATGTAAAACATGACCCATGGTCGGCTCTATTAGACTTTGGAAAACCGTGACGATGGCAATAATCTGTCATGAAAGTTAAAATTGAAGAAGCCGCGGTGTTGTTCACTACTTTTGCAGACGGAAACTTTGAGAAGCGATCAATGCATAACAAAAGGTATTTTGAGTTACCCCAACTCTTGTCCAATGGGCCCGCAAATCTACTTCTTCCTTTGGTTGGGTCAGAATCGGTAATTTCTCCGTATTGTTCGTCCCTAGTAAAACTTTTAGGTTCTTACCGGCCATGATACACTGAATGCAATTCTTTCCGTGATGGTAGATCTCTCTGTATAGATGTGGCCACCAGATTTTTATAGTTTTGATGGACAAGCGCGTCAGATTCCTGTATAATGTATGGTGAACAAATCTGTTCACAATGAATAGTTTGTTCACTATGTTGATATGCCAAATGGCTCTTTTTCCTTTTCCCCCACCTCACACAAACATCAATTCTATGGGTCTAAGGAGTGATTTTACAAGGTTGATTATGAAAATCAAGTATGTTTCTCATGGCCTAAATAGCCTGCAAATCATTTTTCATGACAATCGGAAAATTTGAACAGTACTTTGATTTATAATAAATTGCAGGCGGGGGAGGGGGAAGGAAAAAGAGCCTGCCAAATTTCATAACACGTGACAAGGGCCAGGGGCGGATGTAGGATTTTCTCGAGGGGGGCGGATTTTCAAAAAATTTTCGAAAATTTTATCGACTCTTTTTTTATTTTTAGGTCGACCAAATTGATTTTTCGAGCTCTCCCAAAGCACTGCTTTGCCCTATTTTAGCCAAAATTTCTGCACCGCAGGCAAAATTTTGAAAAAAAAAAAACATGCCAAAAAGGGCGTTTTTAGGCACTTTTTGGAAAGTTTGACCAAAAAATTGCGGTTTTTTGGCGCGCGCCCCTTCAAAACTAGTATGCAGTGGCGCCCAAAGTGCCTTTAGAAAATTTTTAGGTTACATCAACAAAAATTGATATCTCAAAATAGTACAAAGGGGGGACCCTTTAAGTCGGCAGGGGGTCGAATCCCTGAGGGGGGCGGACGCCCCCCCCCCCCCCTAAATCCGCTACTGACAAGGGCTAAGTTGTTTTTCAAAAATGAAACTGAAAGTTGTAGGAGGGGAGTGAAAAATAGTCATATAGCTTCATGCTTTTTTCGTTTCGATAGGAAGTATGCCACTTTGTCATTTCAGCCCAAAGAAGTGTTCTCGTATGATCGCATCTTCCATCAGCCTAAAGGGTACAACCAGAAGCTGCACAGAGACGACAGGGAACATGCCAAACACGAAGGACTCGACATTCACAAGGAGGTTAGCCTCATACGGAATTTTCAAACAACAAAAAGAAAGGGTAATTGTGGGAAGGGTAAAATGTGACAATGAAAAGGATTCGGCTCTTTTCTAGTCCCCCTTTCCTAATTTTTCTGAAAATCATTTTATGAAAGCCTACTTATAATGACTTTTTAGGTTCTTGTAGCGTGAAGAAGTGAACCAATTTTCGCATTTCTTACATGCAAACTACTGTATGAACACTTTTTCGACATTTTTTTGTAATTTATAAGGGGGGTGGGCAACTAAAAAAAAACATTATTTTCAAGAAAGGGAATGTTCAGTTTAAATTCAGAAAAGAGGCCATCCCATGTGATCCGATTGGTTAAATCATTAAAACACCCACCGTCAGTGACCCAGGTCAATGTTATAACAAGTTCATCCTCCCAATTATAAACATCAATTCCTGTTTGATAAAAACAGGTACTAAGAAAAAACTATTTGGATCAGGTTTTTTATCATTTTTTTAAGGAATTTGATTTCAGAAGCACTACTCAAAAATTTTACTTTTTCTCAGAAATTACTCTGCAGGTTTTTGAAAAAAGAGTACCGATGGAAAGTCCTTCCACTCCCCTGTTTTAGATTTTTTTCATTTTCTCATAAACTAACCTCCCAAATTTGAGCGGCTACTTTTTCCAAAAAAGTTATCTTATCAAAAACATTAACCAAAAAATCAAAAAAATGTCCAATCCAAAAAAAATTATCCGACTAAAACTCGTTTCTTATCCAGTTTCCCACTCCCTCGTAAAGTTACAAAAAAAGCTGTTCAAAAGTTGTTCACACGGCATTTTGCCTGCAAGAAATGTTGTAAAAATTTGTTCACCTGTGCACGCTGACCTGTTTTAATGCAATTTACAGCATTGAAAGACACTTAGAACAGAATTTCAATTATTGAATTTTAAAAAATTTCTAAGGTAGAGACGGAAAAGAGCCCAAATTTCTTAACCAAAAACTTATCGTCTTCGCAAAAGTTATATTTGTGACTTTTGAACGTTTTTTGAAAATTTTTGGCTTTTCCTGAAAGCTACCGTACCAATATTGAAGTTTTGATTTCAATGGAAAGGACCGATTGTGAGAATGTAACCTTCATAAGCACCTTTGCCCAAATTTTTTAACAAATAAAAAAAGTAAACTATGGTCTCGTTAAAGTCAAATTATGAGTATTTTGACCGTTTTTATCAAATTTTTGACTTGTTTCGGAAACTACCATCACAGATCTGAGATTGTGGGTTTAATGGTTCTGAGAGCATTCCCCTGTAAAAGCAGCGACGTCTAAATTTTCTAACAACAAATTATGACCCTTTAGAGAAGTCGTCATTTTGATTTCTTGTCGGTTTTTTGAAGTTTTTTGACTCCTTTCGCAAACTAATAGCTGAATCTGATAATAAGGCTACAGTCGTGGCAACAGCTTTGTGAGGAATCTTTGTGCAAAAGCCGATACGCTTTAAATTTTGTATGAAAACTGTTGTTTTTGGAAAAATTACAAATTCTCAAAAAGCTTCATCAGAAAAATCACTAAGGATTTGGGGCAAAGTAAAATCAAAGATCGAAATTCAAAAAATGCAGATGCGGGAAACTATACACAAGTTTCTGACAGAAATATCAGATTGGTGATGCTTGCGCTCATTTTTGTGATTTTTTGTGAAGCATTTCTCAAAAATTTTACTTTTTCTTAGAAACTACTCTACCGGTTTTTGAAAAAGGAGTACCAATGCAAAGTCCTCCCACTCCCTGGTTTTCTAATCAAAAACGTTATCTAAAAAATTTAACAAAATTATCCCATCAATAAAATTATCCAACTAAAAGTCGTTTCTTTTCCAGTTTCCCACTTCCTCGTAAAGTTACAAAATAAAGCGTTCAAAAGTTGTTCACACGCCATTTTGCTTGCAAGAAATGTTGTAAAAAATTGGTCACCTGTGCACGCTGACTTGTTTTTATGCAGTTTATAACAATGAAAGTCATTTAGAATAGAGTTTCAATTATTGAATTTGAAAATATTTCTAAGGTAGAGCTGGAAAAAGGCCCAAAACTCTTAACCAAAAACTTATCGTCTTTGCAAAAGTTACATTTGTGAGTTTTGAACGTTTTTTTTAACCTTCTCGGCTTTTCTCGAAAACTACTCTACAAAATTCGAAGTTTAGATTTCAAGGGAAAGGATGAATTGTGAGAACCTAGCCTTCATAAACACCTTTGACCAAATTTTTTAACAAACAAAAAAGTAAACTATGGTGTCCTAAAAGTCAAATTATGAGTATTTTAACAGTTTTTATGAAATTTTTGACTTGTCTCAAAAACTACCATCAGAGATCTGAGATTGTGGGTTTAATGGTTCTGAGAGCATTGCCCCTGTAAAAGCGGCGATGTCTAATTTTTCCAACAAAAAATTATGAGCCTTTAGAGAATCGTTATTTTGATTCCTTGTCGGTTTCTTGAAACTTTTTGACTCTTTTCGAAATCGACATATTTGAATCTGATAGCAAGGGTACAATCGTGGCAATAGATTTGTTTGAAACCTCTGTGCAAAAGCCGATACGCTTTAAACTTTATATGAAAAGTGTTAATTTTGGAAAAATTACAAATTCTCAAAAAACTTCATCAGAGGAACCAGTAAGGATTTGGGGGAAACCTAATTTTTGTAGGTTTGAAATTACTCATTCCATCAGAACAACAATTTCAAAAATTATCAAGCAGGTACCTCAGTTTTAGCTGGACACCTCTCATCCCGAATCGACATGGTACTTAATAAAACAATTGGGCAACCTAAAACCAAAGTTCGAATTCAAAAAAATGCAGATGCGGGAAACTATACACAAATTTCTGACAGAAACATCAGATTGTTGGTGCCTGCGCATATTTTTGTGAGCTTAACATGCCATGCACCTGTTCATTTGTTGTTCTGACCATTGAAATGGGAAAGAACTTTGTATTTGGGTCTGTTTGATTTTTTAACGCAAAATCAGGTACCACACATAATAATCAGACTGGGTTGAGTGATATATCATATTTAATCCTACAGTCGTGATTGTAACCACTTTAAAAAAATTCAAAAATATCAAGTTTTCAAAATTTCGAGCGAATAAAGTTTCGTGCTCAAAAAATAGCAAAACTTTTTTTTGTTTTTCAAGTAATTTTCCAGAAAAATTGTTTTTCAAAATGCTTCTTTTACTGTGACTCTCGAATGTACCTAACCTCCAGTTTTTTGTTCAGCTCAATTTACCACACGAAGCCGGAAAAAAACGACAATAACTTGAAAAACTTCGTTGTATTTTTTAAGACTATGGTCGGAACATTCTGTGCTACTTGCACAGAAACCAGCTATCCTTGTTTTTTTTGTTTATAGGAGAGTAGCAAAGTTGTTCCCACTAAAGTGGCCTCAATCTATGGTCACAACCTGGACAGGGCCATGGACCCCAATACGAGGGAACATGTCCGAATAGCCCATGTGGAGAACACCTTCTACAGCAACAAGTACATTCCGGACCTAGCCGAGAAAGATCTCCAGCTGGTGCGCCTCGAAGCCAAAATATAAACAATTTGTCTTCATTGAGGACTATTTTTTGTTGTAAACCGGAAGAACGAGTAACTTTCATGCCAAAGAAATGACTAATTGACTGAAAGTTAAAAGTTACATTAGCTATCACTATTTACAATTCAAATTCAGAAAGAAACTTTGCAATACTCTCTCATAGACTTGAGTAACTCGAAATGTATTGATTAGAGAGGAACTTATGTGCCAATCGGACATTCAGATGAGAGTATAACCCGTAAAAGAACCGTAAGTTTTTCTAGTTTTGAATCGGACTATAAAAAGATTCCGCAATTGGAATGAATCAATTCTCCACGGATATAGAATCGAAGCAACTTAGAGTATACTGCTGAGGGCGGCCCATCATCACGATATTTTTTTCCGGCATCAAGGCGCGCTTCACATGTTGTAGACAATGGCCGCACGACGTAGAGCTTCGCGACGAAAATGATAGTCATGGCAAACTTACATCGCACAAAACTGTCACAGAGCTTACAATGGTCAGAGAAAAACAGAGTTGTAAAAATTTTTCCAAACTCAAAATTCCAGTATGGATGTTATCTCAAACTTTCCAAAAATTGGCTTACATCTTTTTTTTTGTGTTGTGGTTATTGGCAAAAAGAATTCCAAAAACTAACGTGTTAGATTTCATTGTCTGATAAATTCCCTTGCATCATGTGGATCATAACCAAATGCCACGTAGTCATTTCGAAACATATACAAAATTTTTTCAAGAGTCTCTCTAGAAATTTCATACAGCAGTTCCATGTGTTCAGCCGCCTTTGAAGTCCATCGACCATCGGGCAGAGTAATTCTCTCGTGCATCTTTGTCAGATTTCTGGCCAAGTAGACGAAGTCGCGATTCATTGTCTCAGTTCTGCCTAAAAACAAACTTACCCTCAACCCCGGCCATAACTGGGGAAAGTCACTGAAATTTTGTTCAATCTTTCAAAATTGGTGTTATGAGCTCTCTCGGAAGCCACGAAATATTAGAAACTATGTTTTTCACTGTAAAAGTTTTAAAAGGAAAATTGGACTCAAACTCAACATAATGACGGTGAGATTCGGTCAGTTTTCTGATAAGATGGGTTGGTTCTTTCCTGCTCACACCCATTCATAACCATACTTTTTTTTGATAGTAAAAGAGATAGAAACTATATTGACCAATGCGTTAATAATTGATACATCGACCAAGACAATTAAATTGAATGAGAATTTTCCTGCTATTAAGTGATGGGACTTGGTCTTGCAAATTTGAGTTTGCTTGATATCGAAGAACATGAACTGACAATCAAGTCAGAAACAAGACTGCACCTATCAGGGCGAAACACTGAAAACACAGAATCCTTTAAGTAGCCGTTTGATCTATGTTGGATGTAGTACTCATAGAGTAATTTCAGATAAGGTACACGTCAGTTCGTCACGCTATCTTATTTTTGGCCGGATGGATTTGTGCAACTTCTTAGTCTAATACCAATCTTAATCTTACTCTTGTATCTCCTAGTCTCAATAGATCTAGTGTATACTGGTATTTACGAGTTAGTTCTTGGAGTTTATCCAGAAGGAGAACAGTTGTAGTCTAAAATTTATTCAAATTGTTCTGGTGCTGAAACTACAAGTAGTTTCAGCACTTACAAATAAGTGTCAATGTTATGGAATATGATTTGTGAGTTAGTAATATTTTATACAGATAGTTTTAACAATAATATAATTGGTTTTTAAATAATAGTTTAGAACTGGTTCCACTTTGATTTAAAAAAATATGAACTTTTCAAAAAATGAAGAGTCAGTTTTTCAAATGTTTTCCCGAACGCTATTTAAACTACAATGTGACAAATTTTGTTTTCAGTAGTCTCTCAACTAGACTAAATAGCTAGCCTCGATTCAATTATTAGTTTGTATGCTTTAGGTTGATTTATTTGCCGCTTAATACAACGAGAGAACCGCGCCGTGTCTGTACAAACAGTCCCATTCAAAACAGTCCGGAAAAGTATAAAAATGAACAAAAAAACAGTCCGATACAAAGCAGTCCGATAAACAGTCCTAAGTATTAATGGTTTTAACAAGCCGCTAGGCCAAGAACTAGGTTCAACAAACATAAAGAACAAATTAGTGACCGCCGCAGTCGCGCCAACGGGTTAAGAGCTTGCCAACAGAGGGTAGGACTTAGTACGAAATTTAGAGCCGTTTATCGCCGCAAAGCGGCGACGCGCGCGCAGCGCGCCCACCGGCGACCTTAAACCGGACTGTTTTGTATTGCACTGTTTTTTTCCTGCATTTCATGATTTTTTGGACCATTTTGTATTGGACTGTTTTGTATATGCACCAACCGCGCGTAACTTTATAACCACCAAAGCTTTTCAGAAAAATAAGTTAAGGTGAAAATATGTTTCAGATGGTTCAGTAAATAACTCAATATCCTTCAGATGGTTCAAAAAATTCTGTATTTAATGGCTGGTTAAATTTGACACTTGTATGAGAAAAAAAACACCACCTAGCACAAATATTCTGTCCCTGTCTTCAAAAGTCTGCTCAAAGAGCGTACTGACCTATAAACGTGTAGTCGATGTGGCATATTTGACACATGCTTGCACTTCCTCTAAAGTGACCATTAGGAAATTGTTTCCCGAGGTCGGACAAATGAGCCAAGTACTTGGAAAATCCTGCAAACGACAAAGGAACTTTTTTGTTCGTTTCGTTTGCAAATTTTCTGGCAAAAACTATAGAAGGAAGTCTGTCGAATTTTCGAGATCGTATTTTGCCCAAATAGCCCGACACAAATCTCACAATCGGATCCCGAACGAAAAGAAAGTTAGTGTACGTTTTGAGTTTCTCCTCTGCGAGATCATTCGGCAGTTTTGCCAATTGCTTCAAAGATCTGTCGAAAAGTGGATGAACGAATTTGACGCTTGAAGATTCGTTGTGGTTGAGGTTCCACATAAGTCGACCTCTTTGAGAAGTTCCTGTGGCTATTTTACCGTCCCCCACCACACAAAAAAAAACAGTTTTATTGCTAGAAATATATTTTTTGACCAAATGTGGCTGAAATTAAAAATTCGCTTTCATAGCAAATTTCATAGTAGTTAAGCCAAAGGAACATCAATTTAAACGCTAAAAATTTGAACAATTTGATTTATCGGGAGCACTGTCTGCACAATTTTTAACGATTCAAACTGTCAATTTTGAAAAAAAAAAATTTTGAGATCAATTTTAAAAAGTTTTGGATTCTCGTTCTAGAATCAATTTTTTTGATCTGACACCTAATTTCTGTTATTTTTTTTGTGTTTTTCGACAGAAATTTTGGGATGGTTGTCTTGCAAGATTCTTGCAAGATTCTTGCAAGATTCTTGCAAGATAGCCTCCCTCTTTCAAGATTCTTGCAAGATAACCTCCATCTTGCAAGAATCTTGCAAGATCTTGCAAGATAACTTCCCTTGATCGACTAGGGTACCGACAACTGAAATAAATTCGTAAGCCGTTTTTTTTATAGTCAAAACAGCAAAAAGAACGGCATGTAATGGTTGCTTGCTTGATCTGCTCTGATGCGGCACGAATCTTATAGTGCGTTTGAGTCTGTGCTTGCCTATCGTCTAGTTTATTCTATTAAATAATTCAATTCTGTAAATAACTTATCAACCTCACTTAAGTATATTTTACTTTCGGCTATTTGAACTCAGCATAATTTAAAGTTTTTTCTTCTTAGCTAACATTGGATGGTCATTGAAATAGTAAAAATAAGCCATCCCTGTTTTGGGAACCCTGCATTCGACAAATTTGAATCTATCATTGTAAATGACATTTCGATGTGGTGCACCTTCAAGCAAGTCTTTCACTGATTTGACCTGCGTTTCATTTAGTTGAGTATTTTTCTTCAATTTGAATTGTGAGCAAAACCGATTGAGTAGTTCTAGTCGGTAATCTGATATTGACTGCATGTTGCCCAGTTGGTTCTCTCTGTAAATTACACTCGTTTCGTAGACTTGATCAGATAAATTAGACGACATCTAAAACAAAAAATTGCGCAACTGATTTTTTTATGACCGCGATTTTTTATTTTATCAAATATGTTTCGTATGAGCCAGCAATTTTAACAGCATGGTGCAAATACTCATTTTGAAGGTCGCACGAAAAATAAAAGGGTCACGAACAAAGATCTTTCTAAACTTTATTGGTGACATTTTATCTTTGAGTAATAAATCCAAAATTGCAAGTTGATGTTTTATGAGATGAGAATATCTTGTCCTATAAATGCTCCTAGATATGGATGCAAGTATTTGTTATTTTTCCGGCTTGGGAGATGTGGCACTCTGGTTTCGTTGTCGCATCAAATACCGCCAGAAATTTGAAACAATTAAGCTTGAATAACTTCTTTTAGCTATTACTCATTTCGTCAAAAGTATGAATATTTATTATCCACGCTCAATTTCCGCTCTCATTTTGCTCAAAATTATCAGCAGGCGGGCCAAAAAAGGTGCAAAAATTAATGATTTTTCAAAGTTTCAAAGTTATTTAGCATTACATCTAAAATTCAGTATGCAACTTTTTCATCCCCAAGCAATGCCAAAATGGGTCAAGCGTGGCATGGAGAAAACGCATGCTTCAGTTTTTTTTATTTATAAGTTCAATATTTAGAAAAAAAACTATCATAACTGCAAAGTAAAAAATTTAATGGTTAAATTCAAAATAATTGTTTATCCGATAAATCATTACAGGTATTCCAGAAAAAAGCTACCAAAATGAAGCAGTATCCAAACGAATACTATAGCTAAAAACGAAAACTTTGAAAATGTATACAATACACAACAAATACGGTTTCAGGTGCTATAAACTATCATTCTTTTTGCACCCTATTGCAAATGCCTTTGCCATTGAATAAATCATTTAGTATACATGCCTGATGAGTCACTTCGAATCAAGCATGGCATGAGTTTTTTGCAGTCGACGCTTTCTATGTTGAAAAAAAAATGAGTTGTTTATGCTTGAAACTGAAGTCATTCAAACAAGTGCCTTAAATCGCCATAGAATTTTATCTTATGATTGCTCCAATTTTCGAAGAATGAGTGGAAAAATTATGTTATAAGGGTTTCTAAAAGGTCCTTTTATGACGTTTTTCTCAAAGGTCCCATTTGCATTTTGTTTTAA